AAAAAAAAAAAAAAAAAGAAGTGTTAGACTCTCCCTACCCCATTCCTGTCCCACTGCTGACAGTTTGGGGAACACCCCTTTCACTCTTTTCTCTGTTCATACAAACACTTATATATATCCTTTTCCCTTCTAACCATGATGAGATTTTGCTTTATACTTTCTTTTGCCACCTGCTTGTTTTCCTTTAGAATATATCATATGGTGGGGCATGGTGGCTTACACATGTAATTCCAGCACTTTGGGAGGTCAAGGCAGGAGGATCGCTTGAGGCCAGCCCTGGCAACATAGCAAGACCCTGCTTTTACAAATAATTTAAAAATTAATGGGGCTTGGTACCTGACACCTATAATCCCAGCACTTGGGGAGGTCGAGGTGGGAGGATCACTTGAGCCCAGGAGTTTGTGACCAGCCTGGTCAACATAGGGAGACCTCATCTCAATAAAAAAATAAATAAGAAAAAACCAGAATATATTACAGATCTCTCTCCATGTCAGTACATACAAGGTGTCATTTCTGTTAATGGCTACTTAACCTTCCATGGTTTAGAAGTACTATCAGGGATTCAACTGGTCCTGTTTGATTGAAGAGTCAGCCTACTTCTGGTATTTTGCTATCACAGAGTATTTTAGCAAGTATATATATGATGTAGGTAAAGAGATACACACATGCACACTGAGTGAGAGAGAGAAGGAGAGAGAGATTGAGATTGCTGCATTGTGAGTTTTATTTCTGCAGGTTTAGTTTATCCAATATGGCATTTCTGTGTTAAAAGAGATAACCATCTAAATCCTTCCTTGAAACTTGTGGGCATTACACATGTTTTCAATCAACAGAGACTAGGAGTACAGTCTAGGGGTTGTGAAATGCTTTGACCCTGCATAGGGGTTTTCATGCTGGCCTGGACAAGGCCAGGGCTCAGAAGAGAGAGCATTCCAGAGGGAGGAACTGCCCCTGGCCTGCCTGCCTCTCTCTGGGAAGGTAGGGAAGGAAGAGTTGAAGCCACTTTGTAGAGAGAGCATTCTTATTTTCTACTTTGTCTCCTAATGTGTACTTTGAACTTGGTTTGGAAGCAGTCCCTCCACACCAGGGCCTAGCAGTCAGGAGACTGATCTTGGAGTGCCAGAACCCAAAGGGTCCAAGTAGGCCCTCTGGGCCACCTCTCTTGTGTTATAGATGGGGAAACTGAGGCCCAGGGAAGGGAAGGATTAGCCCAGGGTCCCCCAGCAAGTTGGTGTCAGAACAGAGTCCCTGAGAAGCCTACCGACTCCCAAGCTGGCATCAGGGTCATTTATTTGGTATCTGCTGGGTGAGGGGCACAGGGTCAGGCCTTGCCTGGAATCGCGTCTGCTGTGTGTCTGGGGACAAGTCCGTTACCTCCTCTGGGACTCAGCTTTCCTGTCTTGATAAACCTTTGTCCCAGGGCTGCCAAGAAGGTCCAGCGATCACAGAAAGAATTAAGTGTACATGATGGGGGTAGGGGGTGAAAGAGGTGGGGGTGGGCGGCATTAGGGACAGACTCCCTTGAGGCCTGAGGGCCATGTGGGGCTGTGCCCAGGTGAGCCCGTTCTTCTATTTGCTCCCCAGCTGGTATTCCCTCTCGAATGGTTTCCACTCAACAAGCCCAGCGTTGGGGACTACTTCCACATGGCCTACAACGTCATCACGCCCTTTCTCTTGCTCAAGGTACTGTCCCAGGTCCCCCACTCTCTCCTGTCATCCCCATTCTTTGCATACCTGGCAGGAAGGTGATGCTAGGCCTGGTGACCTGACTCAAGCATGCTCCTGCCTGCTGCTGGGGGGTGAAGGCTGTGGCAGAGCAGCATGTCCAGGGCCTGGGGCCCAAGGGAGGCGGAGCTGCCGGTTGCTGGGAGGGATGGAAAATACGCCCCCAAGGAAGGGCTTTTGATTTGAGCATCAGCCTGGCGTGCCAGCGGGGGAAGCAGAGAGGTGTTCAGGTAGAAGGACCTGAAGACAAGGCTGAGCTTGGGAAACCATAAAACATTTGGGGAGGCTGAGGCAGGAGTGACTGGGGGTCCAGGGAGAGGTCAGGGACCCACTGGGAAGAGAGGAAGAAGCCAGGTGGCAGGAGAGGCAGCAGCAGCCGCTGAACTCCATCCTCCACCCTGGAGAGCCCTGAGATGTCACTGGGAGCACAAGCAGGAACTGCTGGCTTTGCACTTTGCCAACAAGGGCTTTAAAACTACTATAGATAGGTTGAGCATCCCTAATCCAAAAATCTGAAATCTGAAATGCTCCAAAGGAGTCTGAAACTTTTTAAGCACTGGCATGATACTACAAGTAGAAAACTCAGCTGGGTGCAGTGGCTTGAGCCTGTAATCCCAGTGCTTTTGGAGGCCGAGGTGGGTGGATCACTTGAGGTCAGGAGTTCAAGACCAGCCTGGCCAACATGGTGAAACTGCATCTTTACTA